CAATAAAAGCTAATTTATCTTTAAATATATTAATCACATAATATTTCCATTCTAGAAACCAATTTGGAAGATAATATGTAGAATAATTAAGTTTGAGAATATAATCATTTATGTTTCTCTTTATGAAATTTGATATATCTATTTTTCTACATTTTGTAGCTATTCTGTATTAGCTAACTTTTCCCATGATTTCTGTAAAGAGTTATTTTTAGTATATCCAAATTACTAGTAATAACATGTTTATGAAAAGAGTCTGCCAAGGAATTTAGGTAATAATTACATGGTAAATTCTGCACATTATCTATATTTGAATTATCTAAAAAATCTCTACCTTTTTTTTTTACCTTTATCTTTTTAAAATTTTACCTTTTCCTTTAGTTTTTCTTTTTGTACATTTTTATTGATACTATTTAGACAAAAGAAATTACCAATACAGTTGTTATTTCTTAAATTTATAGCAGTGGTGCCATTATAGTCTTAATTTAAACCTTAAGAATATAACATTTTATACTTAAGAATATAAAAGTTTTCCTTTTGTAATCTATCTGCTTCTATATTCACAATTTCTAAAATTGTAATCACAACTAAAGAAAAGGAATGAATTCAAAAATGTTCTAGTTCAACTGAATTCACCACATTATGTTTACTCTGAGACCTATGCAGATTCATGCGAGTGTGTAGAGGATTAGACATTTGTCCTACTTATTGCATATTTTCCTTTTTTAATTATATTTAATATAATTAAAAGCCATCTGCCTTTCATTTGCCCAGCTCACTAAATTATCCAAATCTTTTTGTAAAGCATCAGCATCATTCATCTATATCATTTATTTCTATCAAAAAGAACAAAGGTCCTAACACTGAGCCCTGAGGTACCCCACTTGTTACATTAATCAAGTTGGACTAAACTCCATTTAAGATAACACTGCTTTCTTCCAATCAGCCAATTTGCTATCCATTGAGCCAACTTATTCCCCATGACAAGCCTTTTACATGGCACCTTGTCAAATGCTTTCTGAAAATCAAGTTAAATTTTTATTTTTCAGCCACCATCTCTTACATGGTTCTTTAATAGTTAATTCACAGAAAAAAATTTTCTTTAGAAATAAAAACAATCTTTCCTTTCTTTTCAATTTTAAGGCATATCACCCTTTGCTTAAACTCTCAAAATAATAAAAAATATTTCTCTGTTTTTTAATCTTGGGAATGTTCTCAAAAAGAGTATTTTTGCCTTTCATTACTACCTGTGCTGACAAGGCTTGGATTCCATCAAAGTTTTATTGGTATTTTTATCTTTCTAAGAGGTTGTTTTTGAAGGTAAGGTCAAAATTTGGTTTTCTGTGTCTTGAGGGTAAGGGGTAAGTTTGGTAATCAGTTGAATGGCTGGTTGTTTGTTCCCTTGTTCATTCTTATTTGTGTTTGTTATTACAATAGGAAATTATTCAAATGTATAACATTTAATTCCCACCAAAGGCCAGTTTTGAAGAACTGTTTAAGAAATATGAAGAAGATACAACGTTCCAATATTTCAAGAGTTTCAGAAGAGCAAGAGTCAACTACCAGAACCAAGAATCTGCTGCTAAAGCAAAGGTTCATTGCCATCAGTCTCAATTTGGAGAAAACTTAATCAACTGCTACTATGCACAGGTATTTTTTTTTAAAAGCGAGTCTTATTAAAATTCAAAAGATTTCATATTTTACTAGTAACTACTAAGAATATGAGTTATTTAAACATCTCATGTGATTCATGTCATATTTTATATTTATTTGTATAAGTGATACTTCACAAAATCTCTTATTGAATTTTTCATCGATTAGTGTCACATAATTGATTAATCAAAATTATGACTAAATCGATTAATGAAAATAGTCATGTAATTGAAATAAGTGTTTGCACTTTTTACTTTTTAAGATTATTTTAACTATGCAGGTAATCAAAATTAGGGTTTTCAATCATTCCAACTTTCCAAGTAATCAAAATATTGCCATTATTTCTCATTACCTTTGATCAGGCATGTATAACTTCCTCCAGGGTGTGGGCAATCTTTAAATGTACTTGTGGGCCACACTGTATGAAACAGAATTGTAGCTAATAATCCATATTTTAATATTATATAAATTTTAAGTTCTTAAATTAAGGCAATTTCCCCAAGTTTGAGAAATGTGATATTTTTTTCTCTAGGCATCCCCCTCTTCTCTAATTTATTTACCATCCCTTCAATATGTATGAAAAGTAATGTAAATTACTGACTATAATATTGTCATCATTCAAATAAAGCATAATTTTTCTAGCATTCAGTTTTGTTTGGTTACAGAGCCATCAAATAGAAAATCTGACCCAAACCCACCTGTTACATCCTCTTTTTCAGGATTTTTTAATAGTTTTCTCTTACATTTAATACTATATTATTTATAACCAATTGAAAGCCAAGGGTTTTATCTATCAAATGGCGTATCATATTATGTTGTTTTCTGTTCAGAGAATTGTAAATTTCTCTTTTAGTACAAGCTTTGTTCCCACAGGAAAGATATAAACTAGCTTGGATGATTTTGTGACAGCTCTTGTTGTATAGTTAGAAAGCCAGAAAAATTGTGATACTTATGGGACATTGTCTGCTTTTGCATGCTATTATTCTATATTCTTTGGTGTATCATTTAATTAAATAAAAATGATTTAATGCACTACTATGATTAGTATAAAAAAAAAAGTAGGATTAAGTGTCATTGACAGTGGTCAGCAAAAAAAAAGTGTCCCAGGTAAGTTGGCCCTCCACCAGTTCAATGTGGGATTCTAGCTACTTTGTAAGAAAAGGTAAGATATCGTATAAGAAGTTAGCATTTTCCTACACTGAAAAAGTATTTCCAATAGATGCGTACCTTCTCTCACATTTCCCACCTAGTCTCCTCACTTCTGATGATATATGGTGTAGGTTTCTGACCAATCTCGAAGTGATTAATGAGTTCAGATGTGAAGAGGGCATTGGTTATGGTAGAAGTGGTGTTGTGATCCTATTGGTGGAGAGCTGCTGCATGATTATTTGCATGTGGATATGCAGAAGCAGGAAGTGGAAGACCAGTGAAGTGCATTGAAAATTTATGCCAATAGAGGGCAGTGCTAGTTGAGAAAAGCTATTTTGTGAGAGGAGGTAAGTATCTATTGGAAATACATTTTTCAGTGGAGAAAAATGCTAACCTTCTTGCTTAAAAGCTTATGATATGTTTTATACTTTTGAATTTTTAATTATTTTTTAAATTCTTGATGCTAATGTTGGGAATAGAAAAATATTCCTAATGTCTGTAATTAAAGAATTTTTATAATGCCATGATTTTAATATTTTTTATGATACTTCAGTTTACACTTTAGGAATTATTTCCTTCTCTACAGAGAGATCATGTTGTATCATCACAGTTCTTGCCAAATAATAAGCATTGTACTGTCTGTTTTTCTAGGATTGGAAGCAATTTGTCTTCACTGAATTACATCTTATCTGTCACACTCTGTGTCAATTAAGAATCTTACTGTTTGTCACATAAAATCTAAGGGCAATTATTTTTAAAGAATAATTAGTTTATTTAGTTTTAGTAGAATAGTTTTATGAAAATTTGCAGGGAGAAATCTATAGAATGGTATTAATCATATTTTCAGCCTGTCACAGGTTTAATATTACATTACATATATATATATATATAAAATAAATTTTCATGTACAACAGTTTATGATTAACAAAGAATTTTAATCCTTTGAGTGTAATCAGTTAATGGTCCCGACAATAAGTCAATTAGCTTATTTCACTAATCACCCAGCTGTAGCTATGGTGTCAAACTACTACTAAACACTTTTTTCTTAATGTTAGATAGTTATTAGCCTAAGTACTTATAGTACAGTGCTTCTTCAATTGTCATGTTTAACAGTTTGGTTCCATGGTTGGTCAAAGCTCAGTACTTGTTAAAGTTGTATGCATTCTCTTATTAGTCTTTCAGTGGCACTGATTGTTCATGCATTTGTATGATATCTGATTAAATACCCTTACATAAGAAGTTGTACTTGGTTCAAAGTTGTTAATTAATTTAAATATTGTCATATAAAAAAATTATACTTTGTTCAAAGTTGTTGACTAATTTAAAGACAATCATATGGGTATGAACCTATATGTAAATATTCATTATTGTGTTGGAGTTAAAAATCCTATGAGAAATATAAAGAGGGAACAAATTTAAGAGCTAAGTATACAAGAAATCAGTTTGTTATACAATTAAGCTAGACAACTGAAATATTGTTTCTGTATATTTTATTGATTATCTGAATAATTATTATTGCCATTAAAAGATATCTGAATGGATAAGCCATTAAAATGCAGCATTATATTTTCTGTTTGATGACTAAGTTAATTGTATCTAAATACTTGTTTTTACCAGCGAAGTAGCAGTAAAGAATCTGATCTTTCGGACACACATTTACAACCCCCAACTCCAGAGAAACAGTTTCTCATTTCCCCACCTGCATCACCCCCTCCTGGATGGGAACCAGTTGGTGAAGCTCAGCCTGCCATTAATTATGACCTGTTATCTGCAATTGCTGATCTGACACCTGGTATGATGAAATTAGCTTCTTTTTTTTATTTAATTCTATCCAAGTATTTTGTTTCATATTTCAATACCACATTTTTACCCAGTATTTGAGAGTAGGGGTTTTGTAGGTAGAAAGATTTTTGTCTGTGTTATTTAACACAATACATAATGGAAACCTGTATTGAATGTTTAGTTTATATAATGCATTCAGTACTCACTCAGAAATCTAGAGTGCAAGTAGAATTTTTCACATATTTCTTTGTATAAAAAGGCGGTATTTCTATAATGAATATTAAAAAAAAAGTGTTTTAATGATATTTTTTGTGTCCTGTTTATTTTGTAATAATAAAGCTTAAATATTTGAAAAGTACTATATCTTGTTGTCTATAAATTTGTGAATCTCCAGTTTTAACTCTGCTAGCTGACTTTCCTACTTAGCCCATTTTACCACTAGTTACTAGATATATATTGTAATGAAACCAGCTCCATGGGCAGGTACTGTTTCAAAGTCTATGTAGTATTGTCAATTACAGTGTAATCAGCTGTTGTATGTTAAATTTTATGCAGCTTTAGATGAAACTGCCTATAAAAATGACTGTTCATTTTGTGCAAGTTGTTTTTTTTTGAGGCAATGTTATCTGTAATAACCCATAGTATATAATGGCTGCATATTGCTATTTTGACTTTTGATTTTGTTTAAATTATATGTAAATGTTAGGTAAATTTAAAAAGAAACTGTAATATTTTCCAGGTGGGGTTCATGAACTTCATCCTCCATCTACTTCTCAACCTGGAATAGTTGTCCATGTTTGTGAACAGAAAAAAGAAAAAACACAGCCGAAACTCAAAATTGTTCATACACGATGTCCCGGAAAAACACCTTCTCTTGATGAGATGGAGAGCCCTTCTCCTCCCACCTCTACTGATTAAGGAGATGAAATTGTATTGACTCTCAGATCAGCATTAGGGTTAAGTGAGTACTTCAAAGTTGGCAAGTTTTCAGCTCTCAGTTACTTGAAAGTTGTATATTATGGTACCTGGACATAATATTAAATATGTTATAAATTTGATGACCAACTTTAAAATAAAAGGATGAAAATAACCTTGAAAGTTTAATTTTCAACTTCTTTATTCTCATTCAATTTTCTGAAGAGTAGTTAAAAATTGTGTAGAAATTGTAAACATTAATATGTTAGAAAAAATTGGATGTAAAATGAAATAATTCATAGTATGGAAAGCTGTGAACTCCTAGTGCATAATTTGAAGTACAGCATTATTAATTGTAAACTTTCTCCATCTTGTACGTATAAAGTTATATTTCTTCATATGTACCTAAGAAAGTTATTGAATAGCACAGGCTAATTTTATTTAGAGTGAACTGAGGATGCAGTGTTTTCATTTTAGTTTATAGTTTAGAGCTAGGCATAAGTCAGTGTTGTAAAATTTCCCAAGTTACAGGAAAAAAAAACTTCTGCATGGTAAATATTGTATAGTGTTATTAGGTATACAATAAATTATTTTAAAATATTAAATGTCAGTAGATAAAATAAAGAAATGAGATTATTTAGTTTCTGAACTAGTATGGTTGATAAATAAAAAGAACTTGGGTCCTTAAATAAAAGGAAGAGAAGAGTTTGCTATTTTTTAGGATTTTTGTAAATTAAAGTTTTTTATTTTTGAATAATATTGTTAAGGTGTTTGTTGATGTGTTAAAAGAAATTTCTTAATTTAAACTATCCCAATCTCTTTTGTAAAAGAGTGGAGCTCAAAATATTTTATTACCACTATTCATGTGTTTTGCATGTTCTGTTTTTATCTGATAAATATATTTCACTGTAGGAATGCATTTCATTATCAATTATATTTATGTTTTACTTATAATACGTAAAATATAGAAATTATTTATGTTATGTAATTTCTTTAAACAAATAAATTAACTGGTGTTTATGTCAGCTATGGTGTTGATATAATTACAGAAATAAACATGAATAACATTTCTTAATAAATAATTGAAATACATTTCAATTACCAATAATAAGTTTAATTTTTCCAGCTCAGTTGTTAAGGTTTGATAATAGTTATTAGCCATGTAAGAACCTTGGTGAAAAATCACTAAAAATGTGTAACTCCATAAATATTGTGAGAATGTTTTATTTATTTAATTTTATGTTTAGTAGTTTATTTGGTATTACAAAGTAAGAATCACGTGGTTGATGTATGTTAACAGAATTTGTATGGTTCTACATCTTTTTACCTAATGATGATTTTTTTACACTTTCAGTATCTTAAATGTTTCTAGTAATTTATTAAAATTCTGTTTTATTAATAGTCAAAAATGTGTAAGTAACTATATTTTTAAAATATTTATAATTATTGTTAGTGTATTTATCAGAAGATTATAATGTTTGTTTCAGTATGTTTTTAGAAGATAGTAATAAATGATATATATAAAGTAAGGAATGAATTTTTTTAGTTCCACCATCTATGTAATTCTGTTAAAGCAGAGAATATGACCTTTGTTTGTTTCCAATTTTTATTTGTAAACTGATTACAGAAATGTTTGTATTATGATTATTGAAACTTAGCATATTTCCTTGATGTTTTATTTTTCATTTTTTAACTAGAAAGATGTATTTTCTCTCTTTAGTGTGTGAAAGCAAAGTGACTGAAATGGGTTTAATTTTTAAGTTAATACCACATCACAGTAAAACGTTTGAATATTAAATACATGCCTATAAAAGTTTTGAAAGATTTATTTCCATATTTTTTATGTATTTATGGCTAGTATTGGTAGTCCTAAAATCCTGGGAATATCATCTCATCCTACTCAGAGGGTAACATTTGTATTAAAATCAATTCTAAGGCCATTTAAGGTTTTCATCATTTAGTGGACTTTTATTTTTTCTTCTTTTTAAATAACAATAGAAACATATATATATATATATATATTTCAGATTGTCATAGAATAATTTCCCAAAATAGTATAGCTTATTACAGTAACTTATTGTCAACTTTTAAGTTGTTATTACATATAACAATATGTGGTGTCAAATAGTCTTAGACAAGAAAAGCATAAAATAAGTGTATTTTAACCTTAGGTTTAAATCAATAGTAATAGAAGTATGTTTGTACCACTACAGAAATGTTTATCAATCTAAAAGTTTGTTAATGTTAGTATGTATCTTTATGTAAACATTATGTTTCCCTGGAATTTCAATTGATATATCTATATGTTTAAAATAAACTATACTTGAAAACAAGAATCTGAAAAAATGTATCTTTATTTTTGTGTATATTTAGTACTGTACATTTTCTGTCATGCTTTCTGTTCTTGCGTTAAGATCACAATGTTACAAATATGTGCTTCAGGAAAGATAACTTTGGTATTTTATTATGCATGGTATTTTACGACAGAAGTGTTGAAATATATTGATTGTATGAGCTACAAACAGCTGACATAAATTCTTGTTGAGTCAGTTATCAGTGTTTGAATAGCTTTTTCTTTTTTTTTATTAATTTCCTCAGAGACTGAGACAGTTATAACAAGTTTGTTACTTTGTACATATCTATGGTCACATCATTAATAATGTCAGATTTTTGGGGTTCTAAATGTCTGTTTGTTTTTGGATTCTTAAAAGGCTGACATTTTTAAATGGGGATCTTAAAAATTTGAAATTAGTTTACTTTTTGAAAGCTTACATGACATTATTCATTTTGATTAATTTTCACTAAACATAATGAAATTGCACTGTTATTAGAACTATTGAAACATGTTATTTGAATAAAAACTATTTACTGAAACAAAAATTTGTGTACTCTTTCCAGTTATAATGTGTTGTTTCAGATCATGATAGCTTTAGTACCTATAAATAATCTAATAGTTAAAGACTAATTCTAATAAAGATTTTGTTTAATAATGAAATAAAGTATAGGAAAGGTTTGGCTTGGAATGTTTTGAAATTATTTTTAAATCTATGTTCAGCAAATGTGTGTCTTCCTTCAAAGAACATTCAATTTATAGAAATAGAGATGTAGACAGATGAATTATGTTTCATTTTCATTAGAAAATAACACAAGTGTTATAGTTCAAATTAGATATGTGAAGAACAGTTCAAGAAATATTTTCTTTTTTTGATATCTTTGTTATATCAAGTATTTATGTGGACTGTATTTTATTTAATAATTTGTTTTGAATAGTACTGTTTTTGCCATTCTCATAAGTTATTTTGCTGTTATATATGAATTGTACATGCTTTATTTATATTTTTCAGTAGTTTTTAATTTCCTTTTAATGTTTTATTGTAATCTTTGGTAAATGTAATATTTATATGTTAAATATTTTGTCCTGGATTTGTTTGGTAAAACAATGAATAAGTGATGATTTTTTATGTATGTGTAAAGAATTATGGGAAAAATAGTAAAATTCTTAGATGTTGGATGACTGTGAGTACCAGCATGTATCTGAATAAAATGTATTGTTACTGTCTCAAGTCATGGGTGAATTACCAATGAAACTACATGTATCACTGGCATGCATATTTAAAAACTTAATATTATTGAAAATAATTTTTTCACTTAGACCACTATTTGTTTTCTGTCTTAGAAGGTCAGAGCTACTTGTCAAATATTAAACAATATAATAGTGTCAAAATTTGGGATCATATTGAGGTCATAAGTAATAGATATGATTTAGCATTTGCATTTAATCATGTTATCTAACATTTAATCCTGTTTTAAGTTAGTTATGTTCAATTGATGATGCCCCATGGTGGCTATTTGAGGGCTTATAATGCTAAAAATCAAGTTTTCATACCTAAAGTGAGCAGAGCACAGATAGCCCATTATGCAGCTTTGTGCTTAACAACAAATAAAATAAAACCTGATAATCTACCTCAAAATATTTTTTTTTACCCAGTTAATGTTTTTTGTGTGAATTATACCCATACCCCATGTACATAATGAAATAGTGGCTGAGAGGTTTTTCATTAAATCAGTAGTAATATCAGAAATAAGACTAGACAAGTTGTTTCATAGTTTTTGAAAATACATGTATGTGATGATATTCAAGTTTTAAACCAGTCATTAAAACCAAAAACATTTACATTTTTTATTTAGCACCAATTAATTTATATTTTATAGTATTTAAGATTGGGTCTACTCTCAGATGGTGCATGAATTTAGATGCTGTTGTTAGTTACTTTGTACTGAAATTCAACATTATTATTCAGAAAACAACGAAAATTATAAGCACAGTGGAAAGAAATAGTGATATATGTGTTATAAAATAGGATTATATATCTTAGCCAGTTCATTGCAGGGATTAAACCAGAAAGGTATGAAAAAGATCCGTAGTTCAATAGATTGGGCATATGAACAGTCAAGTGTTTTTATTTGTTTTAAACCGAAATGCATATATTGGATTTTACTTTAATAATGTAAATTACATTTTAAAAAGGACTAGTTTATAGTTTGCCTCCAGCCTTTCAGCATTTCATTTTGATGTTGTGTATCATAAATACATAATATTACCAGTCATTATACCAATTAACTATTTTTAATGTAACTATTTTACAAGCTTCAAAAAATATTGATGTTAGCTGCATGTAATTGAATAATATGGCATAATACATCACTTGCTAAAGTTTCAGTGGGCAAAGTGCAAAGACCCATTAAATTCATGCATTATATCATATTAAAATATGTAGAAAGGTAAGCCATAGATCTTTCCTCTCCTCTAATCTTGTTCTTTTCTCTGCCATACAGCAGACATATTGTCACTTGAACTTCATGCATTGGATTTATCTGGTCCCTTGCTATAAATTCCAGACTGTCTTTGCGTGTGGCCTTCCTTCTTTCCCTTTCTGTTAGACTATCCTTTCTCCTTGTCTATCAGTGGAAATAGTGATTTTTTTTGCCATTGGTTACCACATCATTCTTTCTCCCCTTTTCATCCTTCATTTCCCCATCTCTCTGAATTCTTGGTGTGGCTGTTCAACTGGTTACTGGGCAGCTCTTTCTACTATTTTCTGGTTTTCAGTTACCATCAAGTTTTTTCTTTCACCTCCCTGTCCTTCTTGCCTTCCCGAATAGGACCTGAATATTGTTCTCCAAGCCATTACACTCCCATTTTAACTTTTGACTTGCTGTTCCTTTTACCATCTTCCTTACAATCTATTTTCTCCTTTCTGCATGTGGATGTCAACGTTCTGTCGTTTATGCCATTGATTCTTCCCAAATTCATTTCCAACACACACATGCTTTTTTCTATCCTGATCGTGCTTTTCTTCCTAACAAGTCTACAGTGCATGTGTGTGTGTGACAGGACATTCACTCCTCTATCTCTTCCATCTGTTTCTCATCCTTATTCTCACTCAAATCCAGATATCGCCTACACTGTCCTGTCCATTTGGTCTGTTGTTTTTTGGTCCATATTGGCCCTTTTTATGGTTCCTGATTCCCTCTCTTCATTCCTTTTAATCTTTCTTGTACCTGTAGTATTTTTTCCATTACCGTTACTGGATGGCTTCATCGACCTATCTCTTTTGCATATTCTTCTTTGGATGGGGATGCTTGTTGATATTTCCAGGTATCTTCACATCAAATCTGGCATCTTGTATAATCTTTTGGTTTCTCATTTCAATCATTCAGTGGGGGGGAGATTGTTTGGGCTGGCATGTGGACAACCCTTCACACTTTTGTCGTACACTATCTCCTTTACGTATCCGTGCATTGTTCATTGAGCTATGGGCTACCTTCAGTAACCTTTCTCTGCACCTCTTACTGTCTCTGCTTGGATAATTTTTTCTTAATTTTATAGGGCCTTCTTATGCCATACTTGATTCCACTCAGTGGCAATTGTTGCCTGTCAGGGTATACTCAACCATAATCTCCACAGTGTAGGGCCATCATAGCCTAATACAGACCTCACTCACAAGATAGGATGTTGCACAAAACCGCTCAAGGTATCTTCACTGTGCTCACTCTTGTAAATAAGGACCGATCCGATTAGACTGTCATGAGTAAAGCAGGCAGAGGATCTTTGCCCATTCTCCATGCCTAGTTTTGAACCCAAATGCGTTTCCACCCTTTTTTCTTTTAATGGAGCATGAGAGTCCTTGCAACTAACCACTTCCTAGCAGCTGTGACCATTTCCACTCAGTAGAGTGTAGGGTGGTGGTGGTCTTTTCGCGCATATTTGCATGCCACAATGCAGCAGTATGACGTGGAAACACGCGAGTTTAACTGAGAGCCTCAATGTTTGAATATAGATGACTACTGAGTGGAGGTGAGTATCCATCGGAAGTATATTTACAGTGTAGGAAAATGTTAACATCAGTTGACATTATTTAACTGGTAAGATGACCAACTTGCCACCTTTGCTAAGAATACTTGTTTTAATTTTACTGAAGTTGCATGATGCATTATTTGACATACATATTTGAATGTACTAATCATGTAATGGTATTCTGTTCTCGTGAAGAAACTTTCTTTCGTATGTGTCATTTGCGTTAATTTTTAACTAACAGAAGTTACTGAAAGTAGAAAACTTGTAGTGATACATGTGAAAAAATGGAAGTGACTGAATATAAAGCTGTTTTACCATTAAGTACAGTAGTACTTAATAGTAGGGACTGTGATGAAATAAAGTGGCGGCCATAAAAATCGCCCATAAAAACCACCTTTAAAATGTCTGGATATTAACATCGACTGTTTTATAGTATTGGCTGAGCAAAACTAAAGCTTATTGTACTTATAAAGTCGCCTAAATCGCTATATCCCTGTTTATGGACTGAATCAAAATTTCACTATTTCAACGAATTTTCATCTAAATAAATATGTAAGTGACTTTTCCAGACTATCGTAGAGAAAAAATGACGAACCTTATCTCTCTAATGCTTTCACAGAACTCTTCCGTTTTGGGTCGCAATGATACTTTCTTGTACCGAAAAAATACTAGTATATATATATATGTATATTTAAAAGCGACGATGCACTACTTTGGGCATATAATTAGATTTCGGGGTAGGTTGGTAAAGATTCTGATGAATAATAAAATAGAATCGGGTATATGTATTACTGACATGCAAAAATATAGCTTATGAAAAGGAAACAAGCAAGTATAATAAAAAGAAAAATGTATAAAGACAAGTAGTAACTGATATATACCTAACCTAGCTAGCTATAGTAATATAGAAAGATTTAATGCTACAAAACGTAATGAAATAAGAAAGTCAAAACTACAAAAACTGAGTTACTTAAAATTAAAAAAACATTTATCTCCACTTTGACTCAGACTAACATAATTATAGTGATTTGCTTTCATAACAGGAATTGCACAAAACCTTAATAGAACATTTGGGCAAAAAGCACTTTAAACAGTAAAGTAAGATCAGGCAACACTTTAAAACCTTTAATGTTGACTGCTAAGGCTGTACATATATAAGAATGTACAAAAAAGCACACGTTAGACTCGCAAGGAAAAAAAAATCCTCTCAAAACGACCCGTTTGTAATTATTATTATTCTCTGCCACTCTACAAAAAACCGCTTGTTATATTACATCCAAACCTTTTGTAGAATACCAAATAAGTTACTGCGAAGGTCGTACAGGTATTGAAAAGTTGATTTGTTTCTTCTATATTTTACATAAGTTAACAAATATCATAATTCTAGTGTAAAAGATGTTATCGTTACCCCTTGAAGTTAGCTTTTTTTACAAATATTTGGTGTTCTATTAAAAAAGCTAAAGTACAGGGTAAAACATGAATTATCAACCAATAATAGATGAACATTAGATGACTGTAACATATAGATACTCAATGTTTTGTACACTATACAATCGGCGTTTTTTATGGAGCCATATTATGTATGAAGTGACGGAGTAAAATTTATTTATTTTTATTATACTTGCCCTTATTAATCATTATGTGATATTCCTAGATGAATCTACTCAGAAATCTAACCTAGAAATAAAACATTTCTTACGTAGACTAATTTCACTTCATTTATTTGAAATTGTTTGGATATAATACAAAAATATGATAAAAAACTTCAACTCCCCCCCCCCTTTCTGAAGCTAGTATAATGAATTAACAAACTTGGTTATATTATTCGATTAGAATTAATCAAAAATTTTAATAAACACAAATTACCTTTTTTTTTTCTTTTTGCAATATACATATAATACGCTACGGTAATGATAGTAGATAAAATTTGAAGATATATAATGTATATTAAAGTTTCTTTTGTAAAACCCGACTGTCACTGTGATATAATTGCATTCATACAGTTCATTAAAATTTTGTATTTCCTATTAAGTATAATAAAAAGCAAACGCATTTTTAATTTGGAATCAACCGAGATAAGAAACATTTCGAGATTTGACTGTTTCTTGACTTAACCGCTTACGAATGAAATTTCCTGTGATCTGGCACAATTTTATCATGCAATTTTGAACATTTTTATTTTCTAAAATACCACATAGTCTACTAACACTCATTATCTAGCACAACATAATAACTAATTATAGCGCGTCAGTGGATTATTACTAAATGACTGTTAGTGGGAGAAATATCGCTGAGACAGAATTGTTTATTTACTATTAATTTGAATTGTTAATCAGCACAATACACGGGTTCACTGATAACTTATTTAGTTTTCTCTAAGTTTTAGAATAACGATCTGACATTCACTTCATAACTTAATTGGTGACTCGATAAGCGGCAGAGCTATATGAAAAAATCCATAGATTTTTGCAATAACTTAAAAATCGAATTCTTCAGAAGTCAGAGAATAGGACGAATCATTTCTCTTGCCTTCAAGTTGGTTGGATGAATAGATGGCGCTACCGTCGTGAGCTCGACAAGGCATGCTCTCGGGTTTAAAATTCCGACCCGACGAGTTGGAATGCGCACCATTGTTTGCAGCCTCTGATTTCTGGTTCAGGTTTAAACTACCTACGGTGTGACAAAGTCGTCAATATATCCTTATCTAATAACCCTTGATACAAAACAAAAAACTTATGAGTACAATATAAAACACTTCCAACTCAGAACAATATTTAACAATTATTTAATTCAACAAATGCTGCATTTACTTTTATAAAATGTTTGTCATTTATAGTAATTATGAAATACAAAGCACGTTCTCGTTAGAAGTATAGAATCGAGTGGCATTCCTTTATATTTCTCTACAATACAGCTGACACGAAAAACATCTTACAAACGTTCTACCTACATGAAACAAGTAAATTTCATATAAATCCAAAACATAACGTAATTTGAGAAACAAAACGATGAAGAATATAAAATTAAATAGAATGTGTCTCTCTCGCCTATAAAGATATTTTCGGACTTTTGGTAACTTCTTTTTTTTTAAGTTTGTATATTTCGAATATTCGTGCAAAGTTACAAAAATAGCAATCTACACTAGCTCTCCCTAATTTTGTGTTGTCTAATCTTTTGGACAACTCTAATAGAATAATGGGTTTTGACTGTCACTTTTATCTTGACGCATGTATATTCCTTAACCTATAGAGAGAGAGAGATTTTTGACCAACGGGACGCAACCACTAGGCCACGCCCAGGCTCCCATTTTTCTCTACAGGAAAAACGTAAAGTTGTTTGAGGTTAAGATTCCACTTTTTAACTTTTTAATTTTAGAAATAATTAACTGTAGTCTATTTTCAATTCCCGTTTATATTTTACATATTTTCTTTTTGTTTAATGTATCAAGTTCATTCAAATTTCACAAAGAATAATCCCAGATATACAAGAAGCATTTGATAAAGAACGTCTCTGTATTTAACTATTTTACTTGAATTATTCCGTCATTGTTCGAAACAGAACGGAAAACTAAGTTGGCTTGTTGATCAATAATAATTCTAGTTATTGGAAATCTTAAACATTATAGATATATATATCATGAACCAAGGTAGTGATTCATAATAGGGATCGCCCATTTGTTCCTCTTTATTGTAATTATATAATATTGTTCTGCCAGCCTACAGCAAAAATGGCTGTGAGTATTGTAGTAAAAACCTGGGCTATATTAATAAACGCATACTTGCGCATTGTGTAGGATAGCAATTAACAGCGGCTGTATAACCGTTGAATTCCAATCATTTTAATGAAGTCAGTGGTTTATATGGAGCTTCATAATGTACTACATGCATATATATACACTGAGTGGTCACAAGTAAATAGACACCTAATTTTTCGTCATTTAACTGATTCATGCTAACTAATTTGTGTTCACAGAGCACTATATAAATGAAAATGGTCCGCACACTAGTTA